GCCTGTCTCTCAGATAGTTCTATCCATTTTTTTTTTACTAGCTAGGACAATAGCGCATTCGTTTCCCACCGCAGACACCTGCGGTCCGGAGTTTTCCAAATATCTCAGTATTGTAGTAGCTATGTTTCGCAAATACCCTGCCGTTAAAAAGAATAGGCATTAAATAAAAAAGTTAAATCCCGCTGACGAGTGATTGCTGATGGCAAAAGATCGATAGAACTAGCTGAGCGACAAGCGAAACGAAGGACCCGCGTGGTTTGGTGGTGAACGCGCTACTCCCCGGAAAGGACAATAGCGCATTCGTTCCCCACCGCATACACTTGCGGTCCGGAGTTTTGCAAATATCTCAGCATCATTGAAAAAGGTTAAAACTGTGATTCCAAACCTAATAAAAAATTGAACGAACCACTTTCATAGGAAAATGATGGACTTCGCTGTGATTGCGCAGCAACTTCCGATTCACCAACTTCTGCCCTAAGATTTTAGAATAATCAATTTTAGATATAGCGAGCATGTTAGTAAATTTGGACTTGTTTAAAATGACTGTTTAGATCCTCCAAACGGTTTACCGCCTCATGACGGTTGGGAAGTGTGTTTAGGTGTCGGACTACGATGCACAGCGGAAAAAGGAATATGGTACAAGAATTTTAGCCTTATCATGGTTGGGAAGTGTTCCTGGGTGACTGACTGCGATGCACAGAGGGGGATTCATCCCCTAGCAGGGTCACCCAAGCTGAGAAGAGAACAAGTCCGGTATTTCCATTAAGAAGCTCAGTTAAGAGTAAACCAATACCAATACCAGGATCCACCGCCGTCATGCTATCAAACTAGTCGCATGGCGGCAAATCTACCTCTAACCCACAAAGGCGCTACTGTCTCTGTTAATGACGACCTGGGGCAAACCCTGGTTAGGGTGACCTTAGGACTCCAGGGAACCACGATAGTTAAACCAATAAAACTCCAAAAAAATGAAAATTAAACTGGGGCCCGCCCAAAGTGTTTAGGTAGCTGGAGCGGGCAGCGCAGTGGTAGTAGCGCCGATCACTACCAACATGGTGCAAGTTCGACCCCAATCGTGATCACCGAGCCTCTCATCTCTCCGAAGTCGGAAAATTGGTACTAGTTTTCTGGGAAAGGTTCGCTCTGCGCAATCCAAGTGGCAACGCTTTAGCCCGGCTATCTCAGTACCTCACGAAAATCGACCTGATCGGAATGTGATGACAATAATGAAGAAAGTAAAGCTTCAAGCGGTAACCTAATACACACGCAGAAGATTGTGAGATCTCTGTGGATGGCAGATGCGGAAAAACGAATCGAATGCAGAAAGTGCTGAGATCCGCACATTAGACGTGACAGACAGATCATTTTTTAAAAAGTAAAAAAAATCAGCCTACATATAGATTACGTATCAAAAGAACTAACGCGGAACAACGGGCGGTAGCTACGTCAAGTTCATGACCAGCAACTGATGTTGCGCTACTTTTTGCATTGATGCCGTAGTCAAACAGCTTCCGCTCCTCATCATTGACATTCGACTGTCCTCGCGTTAACAACTGACCAATTTCGTAAGGAGGCGTGTTTTGCGACGATACCTCCTAAAATATATCAGAAATATAACGTTTTTGAAAAGAAACAGAGCATTAGTTACGGTAGCCGACGATCCGTTTGCAAAAAAACATCGAAGCGCTAATGTTTCTTGAACAGGATATTTCAAAGTGGACTACGACAGTATCAACAATGGATTTGGTAAAAACAAAGACTTGTAGTAGAGCCAGGTGTAAACAAAGCAGTACTTTCGAAGTAAGCCAATTAAACTAAAACATCGAAAAATCCGGCAAACAGATGTTATGATAAGAAAGTGAACAGACCTTTCGGTATTGATCAATTGATGAAGGATGTGCCATGCATTCTACCTCATTAAGCACCGTTTGGAGGTGAACCAATGCATATCTGGCATTTACAATGACTCAAGGTGACCTACCGATGTATCGAGCCAGTCCTTCTATCCTCCCAGACAACTCTTGTACCAATTTTCCGACCTAGGAGGGATAGAAGACTTGGTGAGCCTGGGGCGCTGGGATCGATCCCATGTGTGTGCTGCAGGCCCTCTCCGACCACTGCTCCGTACGAGCCCAGGTGTCATGTTAGGAGAAGAAATAGCAAACAGATCGTCGTTATGAGGCCAACTTTGCCCTTTTTCACAACAACAACAACAAAACAACAGCAACAAGAGAACGATTCTTGATCGAGTAGCAATATGTAAATAAAAGCATATGTGGATAAAACTGGAATTTGTAAAAGAAAAGCTGAACAAGGATGAAGAATCAAAACATCAACATATGCCAATCAAAGAAAGGTTGCGTTGACTTCCTGAGAGTCAAAAAATGGAACTGATTAAACATCTCTTTTCCTAGTCGCCGTCACAGTGAAGTATATTGACCGAAGAATCCCAAATAAAACAACAGCAAAAAATGTTCAAATATTAAAGAAAAAAACAACCGATAAAGATTTGAACTCACATGAGCAGTAGTTACAGAAGGATTTTGAAATGTAGGCTGATCAGTTCTATAAGGCGACATAACAGACGTACATGAAGCGTGAGGCTAAAAAAACGGGGTAAAAGTGAGAACTCAACACTTCACATTCTCGTTAACAGCTGCATAAACTCTGTTAATGGCCAAATAACCACCAATGAATCCTCCTGGACCAGGCGCGTGTGGCCCAGTGGTTGGAGGCGCCCTGCAACATACACATGGAATCGATCCCCGCGCCCATGGGCCACCGAGCCTTCCATCCCTCCGTGGTCGGCAAATTGGTAGGGACTCGTCTGGGAAGGATAGCAACACTGGTTCGCTACATAGCTAGGCAACCGCGAGTCATTATAGATGGCATATGCATTCAGTCACCTCCAACGGTGCTTACTGAAGTCGAATGCATGGCGCATCCCTCAGGGATTGATCAACTTCGAGAGCCTTATCCTCTATCCTTTATTCTAAATTCTCCAACAACACCAATCACATAAAACTATCCGGTGGGTTCCATTCAATCGAGGGAAGGCCACGAAAAGCGCTACATACCCCGCATGACGGCCTCCATGTCTCTCATTTTTGGCGAAAAATCTTTTTTTGTTTTTTGATGAAGACGCTACATCGAAAAGACGAACAATTGTGGACCATCGACTCGGATCACTGGCTCTAGTGAAGAGGAAGACGTCAGAATATTAACCGAATAAACAATTTTATCTACCTCGTGTTAGCTTAACAATCTGAGGTAATCATAGTTAGTTCACTAGTCTCTGCCGTGATCAGAATTTACTTGTGGCTGGCCTTTCGGACGGAAATGTCAAACCTTCCATGGGAAAAAAATGGTTGAGATTGATCGTCCTTGCCGTTCACCGAAGTTATTTTTTCAGTAACACCTTTCAGGTAGTATTTAGCGATAAAATGTAGCACATTTTACCTATGTCACTACAAAGTTCTGCTTAATTTAAGGATGCAAAGTAAGGAATACATGAGAGAAACAGTACTTGTGACTGATACTCATGGTTGAGCTCTCCTTGGCTGACGAAATGTTGTCCTCCAATCATTTCGTTATTATCAGATACGCAAGCATTATGGAACTGTTGAGGGTAGTCAGGTTCCTTAGCATTCTGTGACTCACTGTGAAAAAAAAAATAAAATTAGTTAAGTTCTAAGCAATGGACACCAAAAAAAAATACTTCATGGTTGTTTTACTAAAACAAACGAGTAATCATTAAGGGTCGGATGCTACATAAGTTAATGATACAATCATAAACCCTATATTAAAATCTATTAAGAAGATTATTTCACATGGTCGTGAGGTTGCGTATAGCGCAGTGGTCGGAGGCACCCTAAAAAACACATGCGATCGATCCTCACACTCCAGGCCTCAAACCCTCCATCACCCGGGGGCGAGAAAGTTGGTGTCCCAGACTTGTCTGGGAGGATAGCAGCACTGGCTCGATACATCGGTAAGCCACTGCGAGTTATTGTAAAGGCCAGATATGCAATCAGTCACCTTCAACGATACTTAAAAAAGTAGAATGCGTGGCACATCCCTAAAGGATTGATCAACCGCGAGAGCTTTATCCTTTATCCTTTTAAGTTCGTTTCATTTTCTATCGTTTTCACTAAACCAACAATGTGCTCCAAATACACAGCGATCCCTGGGCCTCGTGAATGCGTATATTTATAACAGAAACACCTCGATAGGTTCTTTACCAAACTTAAACGAGTTAATTTCCCATAACGAACGGTGGCACGTGAAGGAAGCGTTAATATTCAGAAAAAAAATTTTCAAAGAATTCGATTGAGGTAAATCATTGCACATGTCGCTTGCCGATCATATAAATATATGAAGAAAGGTAAGTTTATGAGTTTACCAATGGGCAATCTGACTATAAGTATCTGACTGGAAGTTGGCGGATCGAACCGAATCGGTGCTAACTGCTTGGCGAGTTTGAATTGACTTCCTGAATGACCTTTTGCCGTAGAGTTTCATCTGGTTGTCGCTGAAAAAAGAAGTTTACTGAGAATTCAGTGTTTCAACGGTACGTAGTTTCGCCACCAGGACTATAACTGTAATTAAGAAAGTGCCCCAACGACAACGGTTGAGGTCCGTAAGTGTTCATATTTAATACATTGGAGACGACACGAGTAATACTAGAATTTATTCCATTTTTAGCTGTTTATTTAGAATAACAGAATTCTTTGCCAGATTTTTCAAAATTATTCGTTAACCTCTCCAGAATAAACGCTTTTCGTCATGTTTCTGGTGAGAAGAGTACTTGAACAATTGGGCAGCCCGTCCTCACCAGCTGTGCGGACCCTAGCACAACCACCATTTCTCGGAGTTTTGCTGGTTTAGCCACTGCGTTTCTCTGGGGTCTCGAGTTCACCTTAGCCAAAATCTGCCCCAGGTCGTGTCACCACAGGCAGTCGCCGCCCTTGTGGATTGGAGAGAGATTTGCCACCGTGCGACTAGTTTGGTACCAGCACGGTGGTGGTTCCTGGTATTGGTTTACTCCTAGCTGGGCTTCCTGATGGAAGCGCCGGACTGCTTCTCAGCTTGGGAGGCTCTCCCGGGGAGATGGGTCCCTCCACTGTCGCAGACTTACACCTACTAACACCTCCTAGCCACGAAGAACCGTTAAAGCGTTGGGAGGTGTGTGAAGAGTACAAAAGGTATTTCGGATGCCAATAAAATAGTATAGATGGGAGGGTACTAAGATGTGCACTGCTGCACAAACACAAGTACATGATTCCCATTTTATCTTGTCCTTGTTGTACAGACTAAGTACTACATGGGCTATTGGTAATCATGACAATTCTTGATTACTTCCTTTCAGGAACGGAAGCCTAGCGGAATGTCTACGCCGCATATGAACCATATTACGGGTATAGAAAAAGAAGTAACAATCCCGCAATACTCACGAGACGCAAAACTAAGTGCAGTGTTAACAAATTTTTATTTGCTGTCTACTACAGATATTCACGGCAGGGATTATGTATGACACAACAACAATGATGATGAGATAATTGTAAAACTCCAGAACACGTCTGCGGTGCGGAACGCATGCGCTATTACCCTTTCAGGGGGTTAACACGTTCACCACCACACCATGCGGGTCCTTCGTTTCGCTTGGCTCTCAGTTAGTTTTCTATCTACCAAGACCATCAGCAATCACCTGCTAACGGGATAGATGTGGGAAGCACAAATCGGAATTGAACCCAATTAGGTGCAGTCGCGAGTGTTAAACTAGGTATCCCACTTTCTGACCACGTGAATTGAAAAGCTCCTACTTCACTTTTAAAAATGAGAACGGGTCCCAGAAAGTGACTTGAATGTACAATGGCACTGTTTTAAAGTAAAATTTAGACATGAAATAAACTTTTGAGGAACCGAGATATAAGGAACCTAATACTTCTCCCTCTCAGTGCAGTCATTGTGGAAAACTCATTCGTGAGATCTCGTAGACGAATTCCAAAATCAATCAACTCAGGTGTTACATCAAAACGTCCAACACTTGAAAAAGCCTGCAAAACAATGCAATTCAAGATGGAGACCAATGAACAGTGCAACAAATTAGCTATACAGAACTAATACGTACACTGACGATTTCCTCGAGATTCTTGTCATGCAACTGGTCATTAACTTGAATGAAGACGTCACCACCACTTTGAAAACGGCTACGAGCATCTCGAAGATACGGTGCTTCATTGCAAAGTGCACGTAAGGTCTCATGGTACTACAAGTGGATATCATAAGAAATCGACCTTCGGCGCAATCACTTCCTTCCAGGTTTTCAATCACGTCAACCTTTTTCCCAAACTGCCATAAAATGTTGGAAACTCAAATCACAATCACAGCCCTTCTCCATTCTCATTTGGGGGCAAAAAAACCAAATAGGAGAACTAACCTGTCGTCTGCTAAGATAGCCGAAAATCAAACCGTCCACAATTCGCACATCTTCTACATCCATGACATTTGGCTAATTGTTCATCAACGTGGATACGGTGCAATGAGCAACACTCCAAAATATATTCCATTGAAACATTCTGCGGAAAGCGTTAGAAAGTGGTGGAATAAGTATGACGCAGATATAATAGTTTTATCGAAAACAACAATAACAGAAGCAAAATCACATATATCACCATAGTTTTATTTATTCAACAGTATGTATACAAACATAATCGAAAAATTCTAAAAAACAATATAGTAAAGCAGTCAGAACTATTCTCAAAACCCAGGAGGATACCAGTCGATCGCTTGTGGCACCAGTTTTTTACTATAAACCTCCACCGTATCGCCTTCTTTGAATCGTACACTCTTATCTTCGAGAGCAATACCTACCTGAACAGAAGTAAAAAAAGTAAAAGTTGCATCCACAATTTCATAAAGATCGTCTACCTTACCGTAAACAGGAACATGTAAGATCACCTCTGTGTTTGTTGCTGCGCTCGAAACAAGTTCCGTTCGTTGCTTCATCGACTCCACAGCACCTTCGTATATGACATTTCCTCCTCGTAAGAACTTGAAAACGCAATTTCTAAAAGTAAAAAAGATAGTAATGTAGGAATACTTGAAGAAGAGTGGAGTTTCACCTTTGAAAGTTACCCCAGTCAACCAACACCCCAGCTATTGGCTGCTTTTTCCGATTTCGATCAGACACTAGGAACTCCTAAACAGTGAATATATTCGATATAGTACACTGCACATGAATATTTCCAAATTTTGCCAGTTCTTCTGAATCCGTTCGTTTTTAAACAATAGAACCGTTCTTCTTCATATTGAACAAGACCAGTGATAAAAAGATAAACGATGAAGCACTTGGTGTTTCTCAATCATAGAGATGCGCCATGCATTCGACTTCATTAAGCATCGTTTGGAGGTGGGAAAAGGAATATCAGGCCTTTACAATGTCGTGGTGGCCTAGTGATGTATTGAGCCAGTGCTGCTATCCTCTCAGACAAGGCTGGTAACAAGTTTCCGACCCCAAAAAGATGGAGAGCTTGGTGGGTAGAGGCGCGCTGCAATACATACTCCAACGACTACTAGATCGATCACGCCCAGATATCACCAAGCATCACATCTCTGCGAGGTTTGCAGATTGGTATCAAACGTACACTTACATGAGTACTTGGATCCCCCGTTTTCACTGGTTGTGCGGGTGCCATGATAATTCCTACTTTCTCAGAGTGTTGCTGGTTTAGTCATTGTGGTCCCCTGGAATCCCGAGGTCAGCCTAGCCAAAGTCTGCTCCAGGTAGTCACCACCACGGACAGTCGCCGGCTTTATGGATCAGAGTGAGATTTGCCACCATGCGACTAGTTTGATACCACGACGGTGGTGGATACTGGTATTGATTTACTCTTAGCTAGTCTTCTTAATGGAAATGCCGGACTCCTTCTCAGCTTGGGAGACCCAGTTAGGCGGCGAATTTTACCGCTGTACATCGCAGCCCAACACCCAGGAACACCTACCAGCCACGATGAGGCGACAGCAGTGGCGAGGAATATATATATATATATATATATATATAAGTATATATATACATGTGATACTTGGGAGGATAAAAACAGGAACCTTAATACACCGGTTGGCCACTGTTTCTGCGGTAGCCTACCGTATACTCATTCACCACTACGATGCTTACTGAAATCCACTGCCCAGCACATTCCTCAGTGCTTGCTTGATCAACGCCGAATGTTTTATCTCATTGATTTTTAACTATTCGTAAAGTATCTTACCTAAAAAACATTATAAAACTCTCACGTCTTTCGCTACCAAAGAAGTTCATCTGTCCATACATCAGAACCGTTTTCAGTTTTCAGAAGCAATGAGATGTGGATATGAGATAGATATGTGATACATATATATGAGATATTATCACGCGTGATATTGGACAGTATATAAACTTGTTATTCTGATGGGAGTGGCACATTACGCTTCCATGTGAATTCTGTGCGGTCGGTCTTCACGCGATATACTCAGTGGAAGACTCATAGAAAGTGGTGAGTGTGCAGAGCTATGCTAAATGTGATTGAAATCTTGGTTTAGAGTTTTCTCTGTTTGGTTATGGAGGTGTTTGGCCTAGTGGATTGCTGTCAACTTGACCCTTCTAGGTTCTGAGGAAGGCGAAATCCGCCGAAACGTCAGCTTGTGCGTAAATAAAGAAATAAAATAGCACCTCGTGCTTGCTGAACAGAAGTAGAAAGATATATTCAATCAATGCCGAGGTTAATAGAAAGTCGGACTTGGGAGTTACTACAAGATGTACCAGCAAGATATTTCCGACTTGCAAAAGAAGCACTGTCACTAAGACAAAAGATCGTCTTAGCTCGACAGTCAATACACTTTC